AGGTTGAAGCAGGATGTCTGGGGCCCCTTCCAGGCGGCCATTCTGAGACTCCTCACCTCTCTCTCTCTGTCCCCAGCAAGGGCGAAGGACTCGGGCTGAGGAACTCAGCTGGCCTACGGGTGGCTGGCGTCTCCACAGTGGAACTTCGTGAAGATGGCTGGAAGGTCCCACTGGGGCTGCTGGCCTGTGTCATCCTGGGCACAGGTCGTGACCAGTGAGGCTCGTCCCTCCCCTGGCCCGGCTTCCCAGCCCTGGGGTGGTGGCCTTGGCTTAAGGCCATCAGGGTTCAGCTAGACCCTGTGCCACCGGGAGGAAGGTCAGCCCCCTTCCAGGGGTCAAGTGTCCTGACCCCTGTCCATGTGTGCCCCCTAGGTCTGGCCGCCAGGCTGTTTCTGTGGCCTCCCTGGTGCTGGCCACTGGCCTGGGGGCCTGCGAGGCTCTGGCTGCTCTTCCCTGTCCTGTTGGCCCTGCGACTGCCCCATGGGGGGCTTCAGCAGGGAGCCCCCAGCCCTGGCACCACTCCCTCCTGGGGTCCTGCACACACATGTCACCTGCAGAAAGGGGCTCATCCCGGGCTTCAGCTTGTGAAGAAGGGAAGGGCAAGGGTGGCTGGGGGTCCACACACTCTGTGGGGTGGGGGGTGCATCTGGATCCGTGAGTCCCTGGCTCTGCCTGGGCCTACAGCATTGCCTCCTGGGCTGGTTGGCAGGGGTGGGGGGCATCTGAGCCAGCTCTCTCCGCAGCCGGGTCCCTCAGAGCTGGCCCCTACCTGCCCTACTTCCTGGAGGCCAGCCTAGAGGTGGCAGCCTCAGTCTTCCTGCTCCTGATGGCGATTCGCTGTGGACGCCCCCCGTCCTGCTGCTGATAGCCATGGCCACAGGCCTGGTGTCCCTGCTGTAGTTGACTATATCCGGCCACGGAGAGGACTCCAGGATAGGTATTTAAGTGAACGAGAAGAAGTGAAATACAGTGGTAGGCTGTAATATCTTTGTCTCTCCAGACGTCAAAACTAAACAGATAAACTAGAAACTAAAAAAATAGTTACCTAGAGAGCGTTCCTTGAATGGGCCTTCTTAAGCAGTTTGGTTTTTATTTTATATGTTCTGTATATTCAAAAATAGCACAGCAAACCTTGAAATTGAAAACATCAACATGAATGGATGTAAGATTGTTAAAACCAAGCGTGTGGCTCACGCCTGTCATCCTAGCACTCTGGGAGGACGAGGCGGGAGGATCGCTCACGGTCAGGAGTTCAAAAGCAGCCTGAGCAAGAGCGAGACCCCGTCTCTGCTAAATATAGAAATAAATTAATTGGACACACACACATACACACACACACATATATATAAATTAGCTGGGCATGGTGGCGCACACATATATATAAATTAGCTGGGCATGGTGGCGCATGCCTGTAGTCCCAGCTACTCAGGAGGCTGAGGCAGGAGGATCGCTTGAGCCCAGGAGTTTGAGGTTGCTGTGAGCTAGGCTGACGCCATGGCACTCACTCTAGCCGAGGCAACAGAGTGAGAGGGGAGGGGGGGGCCCGGCCATGCCTGTAGTCCCAGCTACTTGGGAGGCTGAGGCAGGAGGATCGCTTGAGCCCAGGAGTTTGAGGTTGCTGTGAGTTAGGCTGACGCCATGGCACTCACTCTAGCCGAGGCAACAGAGTGAGACTCTGTCTCAAAAAAAAAAAAAAAAAAATTGAGAAAACCATAAAGAGAAAATAATTTTATTATGAAAATATACATAACATGAAAAAATTATTTCAAATGACTTTAAAACAGTAAATCATTCATTCAACTAGCTCCTACTGCTAGACATTGAGCTGCTCCCAATCTTTTTTTAAATAGCTTTACTGAGATAAAACTCACTCACCATATAATTTACCCATGTGAAGTGTACAATTCAGTGGTTTTGGCATATAAAATATTTTTTTAGATAGTTGATAAAATATATATGTGGCTTAAAATTTGTCATTCTACAACTTTTGATGGCATTAATTCCATTCACCACACTGCAACCAACACCACTATCCACTTGCAAAACTTTTCCAACACCCCAGACAAATTCTGTGATCATTAAAGCAACAATTCCCCATCCCCCTCCCTGAGCCCACGGGCCTGTGATCTACTTTGTATTTTAACCATGTCACCTCGGGTGAGGCAGGGTGAGGCAAGGCGAGGCAAGGCACAGATCCAAGGTAGAGGGTGAGGTTGACAGGAAACCTGTGTGTCCCAGGCCAAGCTGGGAACTAGGAGAGACACAGGACAGTAAAGGACTTATTGTACCAAGTCCCAGCAAGGGAGGCAGGGCATGCCACGCAGGGGCCACAGTGCCGTGGTGGGGGGACCTAGGGAGCACCCTCTTCCTGGCCGGCCGACAGCTAAAAAAAAGTGAGGCCTGGGAAAAACCCTCTTGGGGTCTGCGTGGAGCAGAAACCACCAGGCGAGAGATCTCACTGGCGATTCGTTTCCACGTCAGCAGGTCACAGTCAGGAGAGGGTGAGAAACACCTTGTAGCAGGGACCAGGCTCATCACAGGGGAGACCACAGAGAAGTGGGGATGTTGTGACATCCAGAAAATCCAAAAGTGGCTGGTCACAGTGGCTCACACCTGTGATCCTAGCACTCTGGGAGGCCAAGGTTGGGAAGATCATTTGAGCTTAGGAGTCTGAGACCAGCCTGAGCAAGAGAGAGACCCTATCTCTACAAAAAAATAGAAAAATTAGCTGGGGTTGGTGGCTTGTGCCTATAGTCCCAGCCACCTGGGAGGCTGAGGTAGGAGTATTGCTCCAGCCCAGAAATAAGAGGCTGCAGTGAGCTGTGGTGACGCTACTGCACTCTAGCCTGGGTTACAGACCCTGTCTTTAAAAAAATAGAAGTTCTGTGTGACACCAAGGCCAGGGAGTAAGCAGTCCAGATGGGAAGTTGTAGGGGCATAAGGCATGAGGAAGACACTAGTCCTCCCCCGGGGTGAAGGGGTGGACTGATATGGGGTGGATGCCTCCTGGGGAAACCACAAATGCCATCATTTATAAGCATAGCACAGAGAGTAGTAACCTCTGTCAGAAACCCCTACAAAGCATGGGGTGCACGGCTGTATGTTTTGGCCCACACAATGCAGTTTAGACTAATCCCATCTTTGGTGTCACTGGCAACAATTAAAGGTGGCAACAGGGGCCAAATGGCAACACTCATCCTCACTGGAAAACCACTCCACAAGCTACTCCTCTAAACAAACACACACAAGATCAAGGTACACAGGTCTCTTCCACCCAGGATCTACTGTTATTATCCTCGAGTTCCATGATCACCACTGAATGACTAACTGCCAAAGAGGCATCAGGTCGTTGCAGCCCTGAAGGCCATAGAAACCGTAAGCCAAGGTTGCTGGAGTGTCAGAAGTACACAAATTGGGATCACTCAGACTGAAACCTCATGGTGCTGCCTATTTGTACCCAAAGGCCACATTCAGGAAGTGTCAGTGATAATGTAAGCACAGTGGTACACCATGACCAGCCTTGTTCACAGGAGTTTTGTGTTTTCATAGTACACAGATGGCATGACTTACCACCCAAGCGGGTCATATTGCCAGTTCCGGTGGCTGCTGCACATGGTATGGTTGCTTTACCAAGCTGTGGACAGGATCCAGGGCTCAACAAGAACATTCAAGGTTCTCACAGCCACCTGTGCTGCCTGATGGCACAAGATTCCCACCTCCCTGGGTGCAGGGGCTACAGGTCTCCCTCCAGGGTCATGAAATCGGGGTGCTGAGTCCTATTACCACACCCCTTCTCCCCTCTGCCCCTCCTTCCACCTTGATCTCTTATCTGTAAGGACCAGCTGTGAGGGAGGAACAAGACTATTTTTATGACAATTAGGTCTACCTATGTCCCCACCTTGGCCAATGTGAGCCACTGTAGGTGGATGTGTATGAGCATGACAAGCAAGAGACTGCACACTGCTACAGTAGGATTAAGTAGGAAACCTGGTTAGGTGTGGTGTCTTATGCCCTGTAATCCTAGCAATCTGGGAGGCCGAGGCAGGAGGATTGCTTGAGCTCAGGAGTTGAAGACCAGCCTGAGCAAGAGCAATACCCCATGTCTACTAAAATAGAAAAATTAGCTGGGCATGGTGGCACGCACCTATAGTCCCAGCTACTTGGGAGACTGAGGCAGTAAGATAGCTGGAGCCCAGGAATTTGAGGTCGTCGTGAGCTAGGTTGACATCATGGCACTCTACCCAGGGCTATAGAGTGAGAATCTGTCTCAAACAAAAAAAGTACGAATCCTAAAGGCCACTTATTACAGGCTGCAACTGAGAAGGTGCAGCAACTAGACTCGAGTGGTGTTGCTACAGGGGAAAGGAAGATGTAACACTCTAGGAATGACCATAAATGTTCAAAATACATCTAGAGAACCACCCAGAAACTAATATGTCTGTCAGCAAACAGGATTTCAGGACTCAGGGAGCAATTGTCATATCCTGTCCCTTCAGTTTCTGCTGAGTATGAAGCACCGTGTTTGCTAAAGGTTGACAAATAATGTAATGCAAAAAGTGATGACTTTCCATCATTTTTTTCCCCCTTTGTAAGTCCTTTCCCCACTGTGAGATCACAAGTGAACATTGTTTAGCACAACTACAACTTTCCACATATCACATATCAACAGGGTAGTTCAGCAGTCCAAGATTCACATATTTAGGAAAACCCAAGGGAATGGTGAAGGCTTTCTGTGTTTCTTACATCACACAGGTCCACAGTGAGCTCCTCCATGCCGGACTATGATCGGATTCCAATGGCTCTCAGGTGTTCCTGAAACTGACGAGGGATCTCAAGAGTGTATGTCCATGTCTCCAAAGTGAACTAGCACAACTGAGGGCTTTTCCACATTCTTCACATTAATGAGGTTTCTCACCAGTGTGAAGTTCAGAGTGATGATTAAGGCATGAAGAATTCCTAAAGGATTTTCCACATACCTCACATTCAAAAAGCTTCTCTTCAGTGTAATTTACTAAATGTTCACTTAAGAGATAAAACCTATTGTAGACTTTTCCACATTCCTTACACCATAGGCTTTCTGCCCTGTGTGAATTCTTATATGTTTATGGAGGTGTGAGGAAGCACGGAAGGCTTTCCCGCATTCTTTACATATATATGGTTTCTCTCCAGTGTGAGTTCTTATATGTTCAATGAGGTGTGAGGAAGAAGCAAAGGATTTCCCACATTCCTTACATATATAGGGCTTCTCTCCAGTGTGAGTTCTTACATGCACAATCAGGTGTGAGGAAGTCGTGAAGGCTTTTCCACATTCTTTACATTCATAGGGCTTCTCTCCAGTGTGAGTTCGTATGTGTTCAGTTAGGCTTGAAGAAACAGTGAAGGCTTTTCCACATTCTTTACATTCATAGGGTTTTATTCCAGTGTGAATTTGAATGTGCTTATTCAGGCATGCAGAGTTTCTAAAGGATTTTCTGCATACCATACATTCAAAGGGCTTCTCCTGTGTGTGAGTTTTTAAATGTTCATTTAGTAGATAAAACCTATTGTAGGCTTTCCCACATTCCTTACATTCATAGGGTTTCTCTCCAGTGTGTGTGCGTTCATGTTTAGAAAGGCCTGAGCGCCCAGTGAAGGCTTTTCCACACTGCTTACATTCATATGGTTTCTCTCCAGTATGAATTCTTACATGTTCCGTTAAGCTGGAAGAAACAGTGAAAGCTTTCCCACAATCCTTACATTCATAGGGCTTCTCTCCAGTGTGAGTTCTTATATGTTCAATAAGGCCTGAGGATGTACAGAAGGCTTTCCCACATTCCTTACACTCATATGGCTTCTCGCCAGTGTGAGTTCGTATATGTCTAGTGAGGCCACAGCGCACAGCAAAGGCTTTCCCGCAATACTCACATTTATAGGGTTTTACCCCAGTGTGAATTCGAACATGGTTATTCAAGCATGACGAATTTCTAAAAGATTTTCCACATACCTTACATGCAAAGGGTTTCTCCCTCCTGTGAGTTTTTAAACACTCAGTTAGTAGATAAAATTGACTGTGGACTTTCTTACATTCCTTATGTTCATAGGACTTCTCTCCAGTGAGTATTTGATCAGAAAAGCCTGAATGCCCAGTGAAGGATTTTCCACATTCCTTATGTTGATGAGGTTTCTCTTTGCTATGAAGTTTTACATGTTCAGTTAGGCTGGAAGAAATAGTGAGAGACTTCCCACATTTCATAAGTTCATAGGGTTTCTCCCCTGTGTGGGTTTGCATGTGAATTTTAAGGTCGGAAGGAGATCTACTAAATTTTCCACATTCCTTACATACATGGACATTCTTTGTAGTATGCATTTCCACAGGCATAGCACAGCTTGTGAGGTCAGTGAGGGATTTCCCGCCCTGCTTCTCTCCATAGAGTTCTCTAATTTGAGTTCTCACCTGTGCCTGAAGGTAGGACTGATCAAGGAAATCCTTCCCACTGTCACTGCAGTCCAAGGATTTGTCTCCCTTGCGCGTTCTATGGTAAACAACATCTGGAGTCAAGCTAAAGGCTTCTGCACATGGATTAAACACAGGTAGTTTCTCTCCAGTAGAGATTTTCTTGTGGGGAATAAAATACTTCCCACACTGATTAGAGATGGGAGTGTTCTCTGTACCTTGAATTCTCGTGTGCATGTTAAGGCACCAGTGCTCAACAAACATTTCTCCACACTGCTCACAGTCACAGGGTTCCCTTCCATTGTGGGTTCCTGCCTGTGGATGAACAACGATTTAAAGGATTTTTGAGACTTATTTACAGATTTCACCCCTTGAAGACAAAAACATTATTGTGATGACTATGATTTTTCTCATTTTCCTTACATGCACACAGTTTTTGCCCTGTAGATTTCTTTCAAGTTGAATGAAGGAAACTTATTGCAAGGATCCTGTGTCATCTGCTCTAACCTTTGAAAGATTTCTATGCATTTTCATAAAATTGTTTTAAAACTTCCAATAGCTAGTTACATACGTGGTAATGAGTATTGCAGGGAACTCTGAAGCCCCAAACAAGATTTAGGGAATCCCAAATCCGGCACATCCAGAGCACCATCTAGAGACATTCCTCCCCTCAGATGGATGCTGCTCCACTCAAATCTCTCTCATTTGTGCTACTTTTCTATAATGGACTTTCCAATCTTTTCTGAATGTGGCAAATATAAGATCTCTCTCATTCATCTTACCGTCTGAATCCCATTTGATGTTTTTAAACAAATAATATCCTGCCAAAGTGCTGACGCATCGGTTTTCAGTTGCCATGCTAAAGTAAAACAGAAAAAAATACAAGGGTTTGCAAAACAAAATGGTAGGTCCAATAAGTTAAAAATGTTAATGCTCATTTGCATTGTTTTCATATTAAACACATTAGAAAAATAAAACCAAGACAGACTTGAGCAGTTCAGCTGTGTCTAAAATTTGGCAATCAGACTTGGGGTCAAATTCAGTAATTTTTTAAATAGTTTATTCTACAAAAATTAAATGTGAAAGTGAACAGAAACAGTACTACCAAGGAAGGAAAGTAAGAAGGCTGGAACAAAGACCATACATTAAAACCAAAAACTCAACAAAACAGGAGGTCATCTGTGAGATCACAGAGAAGTCTGCATCAGATGGAAAATAGAGAAATATGGGAAGATGAAGATACCCTGAAACTTCCAAGTCCAGTGGCCTCATGGTACATCTCAAGGAGATTCCTCGTTATACTTCCAAACACACTGAACTTCTCATTGGCCAGGGATATCCCTCACAAACACTTACCATGGAGCTCTCCCCTCTGCACTGTCATCCACTCCTCTTCCTCCAGCCAACAGATCACGCTGGGTTTGAACAGGCGATTCCCTGTACACAGGGCAAGACACATCAGTGAAGGCGGCTCGTGCAAGATATGACAAATCTACCTAGGATTCAGGAACCACACTTCTAAAGCAAATAGAGAAATTATTTCAGAACAGCTCAAAATGCAAGTACCCCATCTCTCTGTGCCCTGAAGAAACTGGTCATTGCTGACCCTGATACCCGCATTCAGGCTCTAGTACATATCTAAAAAACAGGAAGATGGACTAATCCTAGCACTCTGGGAGGCTGAGGTGGGAGGATCGCTTGAGACCAGGAGTTTGAGGTTACTGTGAGCTATGATGATGTACTGCACTCCAGCCTGGGTGACAGGGAGAGCCCTTGTTTAAAAAAAAAAAAAAAAAAAAGACTTTTATTCAAATAGAAAACAATGTAAGTGCAAAAAGAGATCTTCCCTCACTTGGGAAATCACTACCCAGTGGTTCTCAACTTTGGAGGGAGTCAGATTCATCTGGAAGGCTTGTTAAATACAGAGGACAGGCCCCAGCAGCACATTCTGCTCTGACTCAGTGTGTCTCAGGTAGAGTCTGAGTATGTACGTTTCTAACAGAATAACTCGATGCTCTTGATCCCAGGACCACAGTTTGAAGATCACCACACTAGATTAAAACCCATCAGTGCAGTGACTGCATCTCTGTTATTTTCCACTGTGTGCAGATTTGACATCGCCGATCCTGGAACACAGCAAGTGCATAATATGTACCTGTGCCACAGGAGGCCACAAGGAGTGATGGCAGTCTTACCTACTGAGGCCAGGTTCCTGTAGTTCTCCAGCATCACGTCTCTGTACAGGTCTCTCTGCGCTGAGTCCAGTAAAGCCCATTCCTCCTGGGTGAAGCCCACAGCCACGTCATCAAAGGTCACCGAGTCCTGAGTCATCACACACACACTGGTCTGAGGCACGTGACACATCCATCAATATTCAGTGGGGAATTAGGAGGTGGGGCCCAATGCCTACGTGGCACTGTGAGGGCTCCATTGTCCACACTGGGGTTGGGTGGTCCTAGGAGCTCTTCCCTGTCCACACTCATGCACCGTTTAGCTCCTCCAGTCATTGGCTTTACTGGCACCTTATACAGTGACTCATCTCACCACAACTAGACTGGGGCTCTTCTCATCTCATTTCCCTCTATTGCAGCACGATCCTGAGCACCTTACAAACACTTGATAAATGGTGATGAACAAATAAATACCTGGAGAAAAAGACACTCCCCCCCCCACCATGTGTCAGAGCACGCAGCAAAATAAGGAACATGCACTTCGCACCGTGAGGGTCAAAATAATGTTGAAATACTGGGATGATTTCCACAGCAACACTGTCCAATATGGATGCTCCAGTGCCTGTGGAAATTCAACTAGAAACATGGTCCTTGTGTGGGTAGAAGCCATGGAGACAAATCTACTTGGTAGACGCAGTATGTCATTGTCAGAAAAACACACTTGCAGCATACCTGATAATTTATCAGACAGTCAGCCACCATCCTTGCTGCCTGTGTCTTTTCTTCATGAAGGAAGATCAGGTCACTGGAAACACGACCTCCTGGAAAAGAAGGAAGGGTGAGAACCCAGAGCTGATGGTGACCCGCATGTTCTCATGCCTGGAAGTCTTTCCGTCCTAGTAGGAAATTCCCATATTATGCTGTACACTCAAGCGTGTGTGCGCGGGTGTATGCATGTGTCCACGTGTGCACACACACACACACTTGCTATACATTGCCAGCACAGTCTGTCTCACCTAGAGACAGAAAAAGGGCTAGGGAGGCATGCTGCCCTTCGTGAATTGTAACAGTCTCATGGTACAGGTAAGGGAACTTAAGCCCTGAGACAAGAAAGTCTTTATTCACCCATGGCGAGAAAACTCACAAAGGAGATTATGGGTCACGTCTTCCCAAAGCACACACGCCAGGGCCGACGTACACAATGGCACGCTCTGGCACACGTCAGCACCTCCAAAATGCACCAGGAGCGTGACTGCTCCGGCCCAGACCACAGGACTCTGTACTGTGAAGTTACCAACGCAGATCCTCTGAGAAGAGCACGAGCAGGACTCACCCTGGGACAGGCCGACGGCTGCCATTCCGTGAGGATGACGGTGAGACACGTCAGAATGCTCCTTCCCTGGACGCCAAGCACACTCAGGAAGGCAGTGAGTGTAGACGGATGGCGCAGTCTCCTCCCTTCTTGACACAGGGACCTCTGGAATCCTACTGCCATCAGCCACACTCAGGAGCATCATTCCTCAGTCATCAGACTTCACACAGTGGCTCTGTTTCTGCAGGTGAGACATACGAAAGCCACTGAAACCAGTTTACTCCAGGAGTATTAGTAACATCAGTCACCATTCACTGAGGTGCAGTACGTGTCAGAACACCAGGCAGGAGCCTTATATATATGAGCTCCCTTAATTATCATCACAGCCCTTAACAACCCATGAGCCCCTAACAGCTAATGAACCAGATCTGGAGAACACCGATTGGCCCCATGTCATCTGCTGAGGAAGTGATGAATCAAGACCTGAACACAGGTTAGTCTGTCTCCAAAGCCTGGAGTCCTGAGCTTGTTGTTACTTTTCACATGATGAAGAGCAGGGCTAGAATTTTCTATTTTTATTCTAACACTGAAGGGACTAAAACCCTGAAATTTCACAGTGTCATAAAAATATATCTATACTCCCAATATTAACTGTACTTACTACCAGGTGTCTCAAACTGGGGGTTCCTTGGTGAAAGGCCCACAAATGTGTTTAGTTTGGTGGCCCCTACTTAGACTCTTTACCCTTTTTAAAAATGAGATACAAATACTATATAATCATTTATCTGGTTTTCTGCCATAACATAGTCTCCAGAGGTTTGTTGCTGAATGAAACAGTGTACTGGTACATGATGCTGACACTACGCTGATTAGATCCAAGGGCACAAAATAGAAAATACTTTAGATTCCTTTATAATAAATATGGAAAATCGAGGGCTAGAGATTCAGAAGCCTCGGTTTCTGTGGGCTAGTGGCCTGGATTGTGAAAAGACAGCCCCTCCACATTATTGCACCTCATGGCACCTATGACAGAAAAAGAAGCGCACTGCTCCACAGACCTTCTGAAGGTTAGGGGCAACAT